GTGCCTATTGATGGCTGCCTTGTCTGAATACCAAGCTTCCAGGAATTCCCTTGCATTTTTGCGGGGACTCCTTTGGTCCATAAGAATGACAGCCAGATGCCTGCAACAGGAGGACACTGATGGCCTGACAATTCTTGGGAGTTGTGAAGAAGAACCAACAGAAGAATGAATAAAATAAGACAGATTAGTGAGGAAAAATAATTTCTATTAAGCAAAAACTCAGGGATGAATGTGCTAGCACTATAGCAGTAAAAAAAATAAAGAGCAGGAATTTGGTAGACACATGGGGAGCAGAGCTTCCCTTAAACAATTCTGTAGGCTTTAAAAGATTCAGAACAGAGCTCTGCGTAAATGATTAACCCATGTATGTAAATCACAGAGATCATGATGAAGAACAAAAAGATGGAACCCAAAACTTTCTCAGAGTGGAAGAAATGAACAATACTTATGCACAATATATAACTATTAATTGGATTAAACGCATATATTTTCTTGCATATTTGCTCCCCTAGAATCTTTTTATAAACAGCTTAAACAACAGTTGACATGGACATTTTGGGAAGCAATACTTTACTTGTTTAATGCTGAAAATGAGTCAGCTGGTAACATTTAAAAATCCATAGTTAATCTATTTCCAAAAAACTCCTATAGTATAAGCCTAACCCAAAGAGATTTTTCAAAGAGAAACTATACCCCCAGCTGACCACTGTGCTTATTCAATCATGCCTCAGTAGCTTTACACTGACATTTTAAATCACTGAAGAGTTAATGGGAAGGAGAAAAGAAATCCATGTTTCTAGGACTGAACTCAACTGAGAATCTGATTTGCATATCAAACTGATGAAAACATCATTATAAAAAATTCACAACATCACAGGGCAGTTATTAATAAATTATCTGGCCCAATTGTCAGACAAGACTTTCAAATGAGCCTTTCATGCCACCCACACTCTGAATACAGTATTATTCTTCAAAGTGTAAGATATAAGCTTCCCAGCATCACATCCCCTAAAGATACTGGTTTAGTTTCCACTTTATTCTCTCTGCTCCTTCACAGAGTGTTCAGAATTAGAATTTCTTTCCAGAGTACATCAATCTTAATTTTCTCACAATATTCCTTAAATTTGCAAAGTATCTGCTAATTCATATATTCTGACCAATGTTCTTTTCTTTATTAAGCCTCTCCTCATATTATTAAAGCTGATTTGTGAAGATTAAACAGGCATTAATTTGTTAATTTTGTAAGAGGAAGCCTTATACCAAAGAAAGAAAAGCTAAATGCACAAAAAACAGAATAATACCACAACAAAAGTGAATTAGTAAAGAAATGTAATAAAGCTGATCCACTGATATTGTCTTTAAAATTATGAGAATATAAACTTTTATGCCATAGAGATGGAAAGACAGCAAAAACTCATCCACAACCAATGGGAAAAGAAAAATGACATTACAAATGTTCACAAATTCTTACAGGTTTCCAAAAATTACTGGAGCCACTGTAAAACTGATGTGACCTCAAAAGGCTATTAAAATATGTTTTGCTTTAACAGAATGACCGATTTTCAAATCCTGAAATTATGTACTTTTCAACATTAGAAAACATCATTGATAACCTCCCTTCTACATAGCTATTACCACTCAGAGCACTTTGAGGGGAAGTTTTACATGAGAAGCAAGGTTCTTAAATCAGCTATTGCATTGAAAGATCAGGCTGTGATGCAGTTAGCTAATTTTGCTACTCATGTATTCACAATGTTGTAAGCCAGAATGTCTAACCCTGGTAGCATCACTGGGGCCAGATTTGAATTAATTTTTGCATCATTTTTATATGTAATATTAGCAACTGACTGGACTGGCCAACACGTTCGCTCACCTTCCCTATCTCCTGTCAACTGTCAAGCAATGTATAGCTGCTACCATCTTTCATGGCAATTAAATAAGTAACTTCAGTTGCTTCTGCAGTTTTTAATTTGTGATCTAACAGAGTATGCTGCTTAAATTACTGAATTTAATACATATTAAATTGAATTTCAAAAGTTGTGTTCCATGAACAGGTCAGTCATGTGCGTTCTATATAATTGTCATCAAATAAATATTTAGAATCCTTCCTGAAAATTCTGACATGAGTGTTCAATTTCTATTTTATTTTTTTCTGGTACATCCTTCCACTGAAATAATTCCAAAAGTCCTGCTTATATACAATTTTACAAACCATGATGAAAACTCAAATGAAAACTCAAATACCTCCTCACCCCTTCTTTTTTATAATAAATAAAGTCAGAGGCTCTCAAACTTTCTCAGTTCATGGAGTCCTTAGTATCTCAGTAATTTTTTCATGGTACCCATAGGCCAAAAGGCTACTGAAAACCCAGCTTTGCTATGATATGACATCACAAATGAACATCACAAAAATTCAAAATATCCCGGGGCACCTCTGTGAGTTTGATGCAGTGCTCCAGGGCAGCGTGGTGCAGAGTCTGGGAACCGCAGTGCTAAGCTTAATTGAATTATACTGAACTAGCTTGTGACACAAGTCCGTTTTATAGTCCACTATTGTACATATTAGTTACTGACTTCTAAAAAGTCTAGCTTCCAGCAGATTAAAGAACACAGAGTTTTTTCAAATTGTTTTCATCAGAATTGAGTTCAAAACCCATTTATTCAACAACCCTTCATACCTTGCTAAATCTAGGTGAACATGAGGAAAACTGTCTAATTTCCACATGATCATCATCATTTGTGTCTTCCTCCTCCTCAGAATCTAAGTGCTGATATCGCTCAGTACGAGCTGCAAACAAGAAAACAGATTTGAGCTCAAGTATTTGCACAAGGAGAAAGCCTATTAGTACTTTCTGTACTTAGAAGCAAATGTAGCATGGGAGGGCACGTAAGTGGCTGCTGCAGTGCAGCATGAGCACAGCCAGGGAGTCACTGCTGCAGAGTGCAGGAGGGTGTGCAGGGAGTGCAGGTACGCACAGGGAGTGTGGGCAGGTACGCGTTACGGAGTACGAGATCCCCAGGATCTCATACTCTGTAGCCAGGATCCTCAGGAGAAAAAGCCGTGGAGCAGGAGCAACTTACAGGAGTGATTTGTGACCTTCCCTGACAGCTTCTCCATTGGCTTTGCTTGTGGGAAGCCAGCAGGGAAGGTTGCAAATAGCGATTATGTGACCATGGGACACTGCAAACGTCGTAAGTGTGAGCTGGTTACCAAGTGAACAGATTGTGATCATGTCATGGGGGTATTGGGACAGCCAGAACTTTGAGGACGAGTTGTAAGAACCATTTGTTCAGCGCCGTCATAACTTCAGTCACTGAATGAGTGGTCATTAACTGAGGACCACCTGCATAGCAATAAATATCTCAAATCCAAAAAAATAGCTAAGAAGAGCTTCATGAAATTGTTTTAATTCAGTATGATCTGCTGAATAAAGCAGATAAAACCAGCCAGAATAAATTATTTTCTGAATTCACACTAGCTAAGGAAAAGATGGCAATATAGCCTTCCACATGTTACTGGACTGCAAATTTTATCATCCTTCAACACTTTCCACAGTGGCTACAGCCAGTAGGAAATGTTCTTCAGCAACACCTGGATGACTGCAAGTTACCCATTCATGACTTATCCCTAGTCATATTTCTCTGATAGCAAAGCTCAGCAGACAATATTGAAGACATCTGAAAACATTTCCTTTAACACCAATTCTCTTATATGCTGACCATATTTAAGGGATTCAAGCCCAAAACATTCCCCAACATTATATAGGGTAATGTGGGTAGGTATACAACACTTTAATTTCCTCAATCATGTCTCCAATTAAAATATGCACACTGCATGAATGATTTCAGAACCTTCACTGCACAGGATTCAAACACATGTAGGGAGTCTATCTGCATAGAGCAAGCTCTCTGCTTAAGAAATTCAGCCCCAGTGAGTTGAGGTATAGTTTACCTGAACATTAATTCTTGGAGCTTACCAAATATGTCATTGCTGTTGCTTCATGCAGTAGGGAATGTCATATTTAGTTCCCAAGCACAATTTATGTTTGTAACATGGGATATTTAAAGGGACAGTTGTGAATTATATATGGCTAAATGGACACTGTGTGAAATTCAAATCTGTTTAGATACATTTTCATAAATAGGTGTGTGAGCTTCTTATATCTGCATATGAAAACATAAACAAAATGCTAAAATAATTATAAGCTGTGATCATTTTTCCTTACTGTCAAAATAACTAGTATCGTCTTCTGATTCTAACTGTGGGATAAATTCTGCCTTTTGCCGTAGTAATCCATTCCAGTCCAAGTCTTTGAAGAACCTGTGTTGTTTCACCTCAAAAGCACTACCTGTAATGACAACAACTGTGAGGAACTCATACTGTAGCAAGTACAGTTCATCTAAAATCTGAGTAAAAATCAGAGCTCAGTACAGACATGTTATACTTACTTTCTTCTCCAAAATAATGACAGGAGATGAATTGGTGATGTTGTTTTAACTCTTTGCAATAACAACCATAAATCCAAATAAATCTAAATTACTTAATAACAATAGAAGGAAAAAGGGGAGATTGCATACAGGTATATGTATTTCAAATTTTAAGTTAGTTTTTTATATTGTTTTTCTTATGAGGAATGAGAACTCATGTTCAATCTCAAAAACTCTGAATGATTGTCAAAGCAGAATGCAAAATATTTTAATAATGTTGCTGATGGAAATATATGGAATACTGGACAGAAACATTGGAACTGGTCTAGCTATATTGTCAGTAGGTCATTTTTAAAGGAATTTTTAAATATTGGCCAATATTAGTCTCTATTAAAACAAAATAAACTTTGTTACATGATCCACTAATATGATAATTGTACTAAGCTGGAAAATTGCAAGCAACAAGTACTAATATGCAATTACATTTTTGTACTATATTTTTTGTACTCTCTCTCTCTCTCTATATATATATATATTGTAATATATTGTATTATAGAACTATTTACACTTTTTCTGGCCATTTTACTCTAAATGGACAAAATGTCATATAACTGAGAAAATCCATTATACACTCAGATCCACATTCTCCCCAGATATTAGCAAGTATGAAAAAAGTCAACAATTTACATGTGATTCTAAAACCATTTTAGAAGTATGAAGCACCTGTTCCCAGTCTTTCTAAAGGGTTTTGTCGTAGAAGTTTACCAATCAAGTCCTGGGCATCTGGTGGTAAAGCTTCATCTCCTTCTGGCCAGACAATTTCATCTGCAGAAATTAGATTGACAGGATTAAACTCTGAACAGGATTCTATACATAGAATGGTGTTTCCATGACTCTTAACTTCTCCTCCTTCAGCTACATTCCCCTTTGCCACCAAAAGCCATTGTTCAGTCAGAGTGTCTGCAGGATCTGATCCTTGCATCAAAATGTGAAAGCCATGTTGGGCTTTCATCCTTTTCATATGTCTGTGAAACATCATGACATACATACAAAAGGGACAGAGCTTGTACTGCAACAGCATAATGCTGTTTTCATCTCCTGCCCCACTGACACTTTGTAACTTTTTTATGAAAAAAGTCCATAAGGAGTTTAATTTCCAAATCAAATTTATGCATCTCTTCTCTTTCTTCTAACAACTGAATTGATGTATGACATTTGCTTTTTAATGTTTATCTTATTGTATAGCGGGGGAAGTTACTTTGGGGCTTGAAGGAGAGAGTATCCATTTTTCAAAACCAGATAACCTAACTAATTAATTATACTAAATTGCTAATATTTTGATCTTGTTTAATTAAATAGTCTTCAAACCATTTATCAAATACAAGCAGGCATTTATTACTTATAGAAGTTGGATACCTACCACTGATAACTTGCCCAAATAACTCTTCTGGAGTGTCACCAAAAAAAGGAACACAACCAACTAGAAATTCATACAGTATTATTCCCATGGCCCACCAGTCCACCGGCTTTCCATAACCCTGTCGCAAGATTACTTCAGGGGCAATGTATTCTGGAGTCCCACATACCTGAAAAGAAAGTAAAAAAAAATGTGTATAGGATGTAGAAAAACTCTAATGAAAACAGCTCAAACAATAACACTTAAAATTATACTATAATTCTTGTTTAATCTAAAATAACAATGTGCAACAGGTTCATCATTCATTACAAAAAAGTAAATATTTTTAATTAAATACTTGCACAAAAATATCTGAGATTTGATTAATTTAACTCTGTCATCCAAACTGAATAGAATTTCTCATTGCTATATTTAAAGAAGCTAAAAGTTGGATTTTACTGTGCTGTTTCTGGGTCAAGGTATACAGGTCATAAAACCTATACTGAACATACATGCTTTAGGCAGTTTTTAAAAATTAATATATGCAGATGTGCATAGTAGTTTCAACACTATAATTTTGGCTTACTTGCTTATCCAAGAATTCTCTGGTATCTTTCTCAATATGACCTTCATACAGATTAGTTGTCAAACTCATTAAGCCAATTTTGGAGAGGCCAAAATCAGTCAACTTGATGTGACCCATTGAAGTTATGAGAAGACTGAAAAAGGGGAATAAAGATTAGTATTATAATGCCATTTATTCAGTCATGCCACAGTGCTATGCTGTTATTTATCAATACCTTTAAACAAATATTATAACTTTAATATCTCACCACTGTAGGAAATGTCTTACGTGAGAATCTTTAAGGACTATTTCAATGCAGTAACAAGCAGAAACATTTGAAATATACATTTCTATGAGTTTTGCACGCTAGTTATTATGAAGCCACCTACGCTAGCTTCCTCCCATGGCAATTAAGCTTAGAAAGAAAGTTCTCATTGGATACTGGCAACAATTTAGGGAAAAGTT